CAGGTTGTGTCCTCTGCGTATTCCAGGCTGCGAATGAACCTCCCTTCCTGCCTGATGCCTCCTCTTCTTCATACCTTCCGGCTTCCTGAAGTATTTGCTCAGCATACAGACTGAATAAATATGGTGGAAGTATTCAGTCCAGGCAGACACCTTTCCTGATTTGATTTTATTAATTAATTAATTTAAATCACTTTATTAGGGGCTCTTTCAGCTCTTATAACATTCCATACATCAGTTGCATCAAGCTTACTTGTACATATGTTGCCATCATCATTTCCAAAACATTTTCTACTTGAGCCCTTGGTATAAGCTCCTCATTTTCCCCCTCCCTGCCCCCCCTCCCACCCTCCTGTATCCTTGATCAATTATATATTGTTATTGTTATTTCATCTCTTACACTGCCCATTGTCTCCCTTCACCCACATTTCTGTTTATTCGTTCCCTTCGGGGGGAAGGCTACATATGCAACCTTGTGATGGGCTCCCTCTCTCTTCCCCCTCCCTGACCATTCCCCTCCCCTCATGATATCGCTACTTCTAATACTGTTCCTGAGGGTTTATCTGTCCTGAATTCCCTGTGTTGAGAGCCCTTATCTGTACCGATGTGGTTCTCCGGTCTAGCCAGATTTTAAGTTAGAACTGAGTCATGGTAGTGGGGAGGAGGAAGTATTCAGGAACTCGAGGAATGACGTGTGATTTGTCGGTGCTATAATGTAGCTTGGTTAGATCATCCCTTCCTGGTACTGCTTCTGTGGGGAGATATTTAATTATCTACAGATGGGCTTTGGGTTTCCACTCCAACCCCCTTCTTTTGCATCGATATTGTTTTTTGTTTTGGAGCTTTTGGTACCTGATGCTTGATCCTGTCAACACCCCTTGATCACACAGGCTGGTGTGCTTCCTCTGTGTGGGCTTATATACTTCCCTGCAAATGGCCACTTGCTTGACTTCAAGCCTTTAAGACCCCAGATGCTGTATCTTTTGACAGCCGGGTACCATCCATTCTCTTCACCTCATTACATTTGCTTATGCACCCATTTTGTCTTCAGCAATTGTGTCTGGAAAGTGAGTATCACAGAGTGCCAGGTTATCAGAACAAAGTGTTCTTGTGTTAAGGGAGGCCTTGAGTAGAGGCCCAAAGTTTGTCTGCTATAAATATATGTACATTGGCCTCTATCCCTTTCATTATAAATTAAAGTAGTTACATATATACATGCCTATAGCTATACCTCTATAAATAGCTTTTACCTCCTATTTCTTTCCTCTATTTCCTTTTACCTTCCTCCTATCCCACTATCATGCTCACCCCCCATTTGGCTCTCAGGATTTCCTCTCAGATACATTGCTCTTGATCAAGCCCCGCCTGGCATTATATGCCCTCCTCACCTTCAATTTTAGATCTCTTGTTGTTCCTTTATCTCTGAGTTTGTTGGCTCCCCACCACCCCTCCTCCTTTCCCATGTCTCCCCAGAACCACCAGTTCCGTAGTTTTCTCCTCGCGATTGTTCGTCCTGCCTATCTTATGTAGATAGACAGAGCAAAAGAAAAAGAAAGATAAAGCCAAACAAAAATAAAACAAGCAAACAAACAAAACAGAACCGAGCAAAATAAAATAAAATAAAAAACAGATAGTTCCAGGTCTGTCTGCTGACCCTTACGTATGCTTTCTGCGGTGCCAAGCCCTGTCCCCCAAGTCAGATGCCTATTTTCAGGATTCCTCTGCGACTTGGTTCCTTGGCTCCCCTTGCTGCCCAGTTGCACACCCTTCGCGTTTCACCTCACTGCGCAGGGGGAAGACCAGGCACAGTTTCCACATAAGGTCCCAGTGCTGTCCCCTGAAGCACTATGGGTCAGTGAGGGAACGTTGTGTCTCATGGTGGGCCCGGCCCTATGGTCCTCTCTATGCACTGGCTGCTCTGAGCAGGGATGTCGCTCCTGGGACTTGGTGGGCCAAAATGAGGTTCTCTCTCCTTCTCTCTCCCTCTCTCCCTCTTAGTTCACTCCCGTGTGGTCTGGATATACCTGCCTCTCTCCCGGGGCTCTCTTCAGTGTTGTCCTCTCTATTGCCTCCTTCTGGGGAGGGGGGTCAACATAGCTCGGCTTGGTCCCAGCCTCTCCTGATTTTAAACCACACAATATCCCTTTGTTCTGCTCCAATGACTGCCTCTTGATCCATGTACAAGTTTTGCATGAGCACTATTAAGTGTTTTGTAATCCCATTCTTCAAAATGCTGTCCATAGTTTGTTATGATACACACAGTTCACTGCCTCTGCATAGGCATGAAAACATTAAAGCGCATTACTTCAACATATAGTAAGCATCAGTTTCTTCATTTGTAAAGCAATGGTATAACCTTGAACCAACCTCATATGTTTGTTGCAAGCACAGCGTTTTCTTATTGCCCAATGAAAGGCAGTTTATGTATATACTTAACTTCTTATCGTGGCTGGGGAGGAAGTTTACAGACCAGATTGTTTTTCAATTCAACAATCTCCATGCATTTTGCTCAGTGTCCTTGATGGCATTCCCACCATGTAAGGTCATTCTCCCCACTTTCTCCCTTTATGCATCATTTCCATTCATCTTTTTTCCCTATCTTTTTCTTCCTTCTGGGCTTTATCTCCAGGCAAATGATGCTCTTTTGATCTCATCTGTGGTTGACTATTCCCCCCCCCACCCGCCCATGTACCCCTCATGTTTATTAGTTAGAATCCTCTCAAAAGCAGTGGGGCTGGCTTTGTTTTGTGTTGGTTACATGCCTGGGTAGTATAAAGAGTTAAAGCCCTTGGCTTCTAACTGAAAGGTTGGAGGTTCAAGTCCATGCAGAGACACCAGAGTAGAAAGGCCTGGTGATCTACTTCCAGAAAATAAGCCACTGAAAACCCTATGGAGCACAGTTCTACTCTGACACACGGGGGGCGCCCATGAGTCAGAACTGACTTGATGGCCACTGGTTTGGGTTTTAATATTTTACGAGCTGCCTGGAAGGCTCCAGAGGGATTGGTGGGTGAGAATGAAGGTGCTTGCTTGCTTTCAAGGCCTGTCACAGAGAGTCAGCCAGATGGCACCCCTCCACTTTTCCTGCCTCAACTCTATTGATAATCACTTCCTCCATACCACCTAGAGGGAATGGTAGTTGGAAGAGCTCATTTCTTCTTTTTAAAAAAATCATTTTATTGGGGCTCGTACAACTCCTATCACAATCCATCCATCCATCCATTGTGTCAAGCACATTTGTAGGAAGAGCTCATTTCCAAGCCACCATTCAAACTCACTGCCATTGAGTTGATCCCGACCCATAGGGACCCTACAGGTCAGTGTAGAACGGCCTCTGGGGGTTTTCAGACCCGTAATGCTTTCCTGGAGTAGAAAGCCTTCTCTTTCATCAATGGAGCAGCTGGTAGTTTCCAACTACTGACCTGTGGTTCACAGCCCAACCCAACAATTTGCCGAGTACATTACCGCAGTGACCCCCAAAAGCAGCTCCATTGTTCTCCTCGTCAGGAAGGCGTGGACCCACTTCTTCCAGGAGGTTCTGCCAGCCTGCTTTCTTCTCTCCCTGGTGGAATGATGTCTGCATTAGATTCCAAGCCCATCTGCAGGCAGAAAGGGTGTGTGTGTAAGGACTCCCACGACGACACTGAGCAATGCCTGCCTCCTGAGCACTTGCATGGTGCCAAGGACTCAGAGACCTCCACAGGGGACTATTACTTAGGGGCCATCTCTGACCTTGGGGACATCCCCAAGGTCATCACCCTTACCCTGTGAAGAAAACCAAACTCTTCACCACTGACCAGTAGATTACATTATTATAAATGGAGAAAAAAAATTGAAGTTGTCAAGGATTTCATCTTGCTGAGCTCCACCACCAATGCTTACAGAAGCAGGAGTCAAGAGATCTACTGATGCCTTCTATTGGGTAAATCGGCTGCTAGAGACCATAAAAAGGGTTGAAGAACACGATGTCACTTGAAGGACTATGGGGTGCCTAACCCCAGCCATAGTATTTTCAATTGCTTCATGTGTGCGAAAGTTGGACACTGAATAAGGAGACCAAAGAAGAATCGATACAGTGGAATTATGGTGCCGGTAAAGAATATCGAACGCACCCGGGACTGCCAAAAGGACAGATCTGTCTTAGAAGAAGAGCAGCCAGCACACTCTTTCAGAGGCAAACATGGTGAGCCGTGGTCTCAAGCACAGACTCTGGCCATGCGGTCAGGAGAGATCAGTCCCTGGAGAAAGACACCGTGCTCGGTGCAGGGGCAGCCAGCAAAAGGAAGGCCCTCAGCAAGATGGATTGACACCGTGGTGGCAACAGGCGACTCAACCTGGCAATTGTGCGGCTGGTGTATGACGGAGCAGTGTTTTGTGCTGTTGTACACAGGACAACTCGATGCCACCTGACAGCCACTCTCACTTGGAAACGGGGCAAGTCTACCCTGAGGCCACAAGGCCTTCCTGCTGGTGCCAGGGTGCCCCGGGGAGCCATATGGCTGACTGTTCTAAGGAGTACATATCTCCCTAGTGTTGTTGTTCTCCCAGTAGGACTGGCTCTTGTTTGGTTGAAAGTTGAGCCACGGGGGTTAGTTCAGTTCTGGGCTTCATCTCTAGGGGTCATAGCCTGGGATGGGATGGGAGCTTGGGGCAAAGGTAATTATATTCGAGAGCAATGTAGCAAAGAGCCCTGGTGGTGCAGAGAATTAGGTGTTGAGATATTAACGATTCAGTGGTTCAAATCCACCAGACACAAATGAGGTTATCTGCTTCGACAGAGATTTGCAGTCTTTGAAACCCTTTTTTAGGGTTGATGTGAGTCAGAATTGATTCAATGACAGTGTGTTTGGGTTTGGGTTATAGAATAATCGTTAAGAACATGATCTTTTTCACAGAGAGGTCATGGAGGAAACTTTGAGGTGGTGGAGGGAACTTTGGCCGTGGTGGGAACTTTGTCGGAAGAGGAGGCTGTGGTGGTGGAGGTGGTGGCAGCACAGGTAGTTATGGAGGAGGTGATGGTGGTGATAATGGATTTGGAGGTGATGGTGGCCACTGTGGCGGAGGTCCTGGTTATAGTAGTAGAGGGGGCTATGGTGGTGGAGGACCAGGATATGGAAACCAAGGTGGTGGATATGGTGGAGGTGGAGGATATGATGGTTACAATGAAGGAGGAAATTTTGGCGGTGGTAATGATGGTGGTGGTGGTAACTATAATGATTTTGGAAATTACAGTGGACAACAGCAATCAAATTATGGACTCATGAAAGTGGGGGGTAGTTTTGGTGGAAGAAGCTCTGGCAGTCCTTATGGTGGTGGCTATGGATCTGGTGGTGGAAGTGGTGGATATGGTCGCAGAAGGTTCTAACAATTCAGAAGAAAAGGGCTACAGTTCTGAGCAGGAGAGAGAGCGAGGCGCTGCCGGGAAAGCCGCAGGTTACTTTGAGACAGGCATCCCAAATGCATCAGAGGAGCTGTAAAATCTGCCACAGAGGAGCGATGCTCCATAGTCAGAAACGTGACTGCAGCTTCAACAGGAAACCCTTCTTGTTCAGGACTGTCATGGCCACAGTTTGCAAAAGTGCAGCTATTGATGAATGCAAGGTAGTGTCGATTAGATGCACATTCCTGAGGTCTTTCATCTGTGGTAGCTTTGTCTTTTCATTACATTGGGCATATTGCCCTGTAAATTGTGGTGGTGGTACCAGGAATAAAAAATTAAGGAATTTTTTTTGACTTGTCTAATTTTATTTATTTATTTTTTTTATCAATTTATTGGGGCTCATACCATTCATCACAATACATAGATCAATTGTGTAAAGCACATCTATACATTTGTTGCCCTCATTATTCCCAAAATTAGCTTTCCTCTTGGGTTCCCGGAATCAGCTCATTTTCCTTTTTTCCCCTCCCCCTCCCTTCCTCCTCCCCTCTAAAAATTAAGGAATTTTTAACCTAAAAAAAAAGTGATCTTTAGAGTCAAACAGATGGTGTTTCTAGTTGTAAGACCTTGGGCTAGCTATTTAACTTCTCTGCGTCTTGATTTCCTCATCTGTAAAACAGGAATAATAACACCATTTGCCTCAAAGCTGCTAGAGGCTTACATGAAATAATGCAGAAAGAGATTTAGCTGAGTTCTCGGCATACACTCAGAGCTCGATGAAAGGAAGGAGGCTGCTATCTGCATCCTTCCCAATGTTCAATGGGAATTCAGATCTTTTATTGGGAAAAATGTTGACCGAAGGAAAGTTGCCTCAACAATATCTAGTCTTACATTTTTTAAATTTATATTTAAATTTTTTCAAAAGTGCCACTTAATATTTTATTATGGTATGGTGAAGCTATATATAATATTTTATTATGGTGTGGTGAAGCTATATATAATATTTTATTATGGTGTGGTGAAGCTATATGGTATGGTGAAGATATGGTGGTATGGTGAAGATATACACAGGTCTAAACATTTGCCATTTCAACATTTTACATGTACACCATGAATCCGAATCCACTTGATGACACCCGTTGTTGTTTTAATTCAATGGTAGTTTGGAAAATATTATTTTCTTTCCAGAGCAATGAGGTTTTCAAGGAAAGCAACTGTAATGACTTTTCATTTCAAATGAGAATATTATTGTGTCCTTCAGTGCCATTATGTCGGTTCTGACTCATAGCGACCGTATGCATGACGGCACGCAGCACCGCCTGGTCCTGCAGCATCCTCACCACGGCTGTCACGTTAAAGCCCATGTTAAAGTCATGTCAGGTTGCAGCCACTGTGTCCATCCATCTCATGGAGGGCCTTTCCCTATTTCGTTGATCTTCTACCTTACCTACCACGTGTGCTGTCCTTCTCCAGGGACTAGCCTTTCCTGGTACTATGTCTAACGTATGGGAGACGAATAATAGCTACCATGTATTGTCCTGCATGGATGCCAGGTACTTCCCATACAGTCCCCCAGTGAGTTTAACTCCTTCAGCAAACCAGTGAGTTAGGACGTCAGAAAACTCAGATACCAGACAGACAATGTACCTGGTCACGCTGCCAGCAAGTTACTTCACCCTGTTCTAGGTGGCTTGAGACCCTCCACTCTTCCATTGTGCTATTTAATTGACCCTTCAAGTTGTCGGGAGAATGAAAGCTGAGACGATCAAAGACTGCACTAACTTTCCCAGCCTGTACTAATGACCAGAACTCACAGGAGGAATCATCTATACTCAAGCTTTCATGACAGCAGGAAAAGCACTGGTAATGTTTATCGCATGAAATGTCTCGAACATCTTAAGTTCCTCTTCCAATTGGCTTTTGGATTCATTCAGTCTTTCATCCTCAAGGGGAACGAATATTTTCTGAAAATCTTTATCGATCCTGATTGACAAGTGTTTTCTTGAATCTTGCAGTGCAGGCTCCAGAACGCGAAAGTCTAGAGGGATTTCGAGGTCAGCGTTCCGTGCCAACGCTTTTCAGGGGACGGAACTTGGGTCAGGCTGAAGAAGAGACTCGTGACAGTCACTCGGCTGGTAGTTGTGGCAAACAGTGAGGTGAGCACCCCACACTGCAGTCAGGGCTCCTCCGGGAGTGCGGGGCTCCGTGTTGCAATGAGCTTTTCTGTTCCGCCTCTGATGTATGTGCAGTGAGACCTGCGAGGTGAGCCACCCCTCTCCAGGATGCTCTTGGGCTCCCAGGGCTCCCGGGTGTTCAGCGCTTACAGAGAGCAGTCTCACCATGTTTCTATTGTCGTTGGCAGGAAATACCTGCACTTTCCTTCTCAGACAGGCTTCTGTCTTACACGGGCTCCAGCTTTGCAGGTTTTACTGCTTGAATGTGATCCACGCCTCCATTCAAACCCAAGCTCATATCCAGCGCTTTATCTGAACAAGTACCTTGTCTCATTTAGTCTTCACTGTGGCAGCAAGGGGAGATCACAGCGTTCCTTCTATTACAGATAAGGACGTGAGAGGTTACATGATGTGTTCAAGATCCCCCAGCTAGTCAGCCGACACAGCCTGTGCCCGACATGGATTTGAAGGCTCTGGTGCTTATCAGTTGAGTTTCTCACCAGTGCAGACACTCTGAGCAGCTCATTTGTGTGGAAACAGTGGGGAGGCCACATCTAACCTCCTTGGGCTCCCAGGCTGATCGCCCCAAGGCAGATTTCTATGAGGCGGAAGGCAGTCATGCCCCCAATCTCTAACCTTCCTTAGCAATTCTGACATCAACAGTCCTTCCCACACTCTCTGTTTCTTGGCCCAGTTTGTCAGTTCATTGCAGTGGCTAAAGAACTCACAGATAACACCCACCATTATGGGACTCATGCCATTTGGATGAGAAATGCTCAGGATACTCTTGTTCAGGCTTTTTAAATTTGTTTTTCTACTGGACCTCAATCACTTAGTTTGGCATCTGCCCTGCTTGGGCAAAGTTACAAAGCCCTTTAAGGGCTGCCAATTAAGTGCCAAGTGGGTGTGCTACTCCGCCGTATGCTTCAGCCTGAAGGACATCCACCATTCTAACTCATGTGGTGGCTCCTGGTTCTACTGCTGCTGCTCCTCTGCCCCTCCTCTGGTGTCAAGGAAGTCACTTAGATCAAGGAGGTTCAATGAGTCGGTCAATGAGACCTCCCAAGGCCTGAGGATGTGCTCCCTGCCTGGCTCATCTCTCTTGATGGCAAACCCACCCTGTCCCCTGCTCCTGCAGCAGCTCACTTTTATACCCAGTAGGATGGAACTCACAATGCACCCTGTTCACAATCACTTTCAGCTGAATCAGTATCTTCTCCCACCTTCTCTTGGTCAGACCCATCAGAGAAACGTCATTTGGTGCGAGTTCCTGAGACTGTGACTACAGCAGCCGTGTTAGATCGTGCACTGCACTGCACGCAACAATTCATTTCCGTTATGAATTATCACTGCAGGTCAACACCTGGCTGCAAAAGAAGACCCCTCCATTTCTTCACAGGACCCTGGGAAATGATCCCTGAGTTGTCTGCTTCCTCAAAACAAGGCTTATTGGGGAAAACCACAAGGCCCAGCCTTCTTGGCCCAGCCTGCACACTTTAGATAGATGCACTTGGAGACAAAATACCTTAAAATGTTTGTAAAATGTATTTGTCCTTCTTTAAAAACACACATAAACATTGTAAAAGAATGTGAAGGAAGACTAAATTCTCTCATTTTTCCTGGCCCATCTTCAATGTCACCATCTAAAAGTAATTACTCTTATTGTTGCATGTCTATTCAGACGTTTAAAAACATATGCAAAACACATGGATAATACATGTAAATTATATAGCAGGAAATATACCTATCCTGCGGTGCACTTTTTCATCTCATAACAGTATTTCTGTGACATGTTTTTATATCAGTAATGTAGTTCCGCTTCATTTTTCTTACTGAAAAGTATTTCACTGTGGGGCTACACCATGCTTTATTTATTTACTCCTTTATTGGTAGACATTGGGCTGTTTCTAGTTTTTCACCACTGTAAACCAAAAAAGCCATGATAGATAGGCTTACACGGACCTTTACTTATTCCTGCAATTGTGTTTCTAGAACAAATATTCTAAGAAATAGAGTGTCGAAGGCAACGAGTATAAACACATAAAGACTTCATTAAGCCTAAAGCAAATATTTTACATGCACTAAATGGATTTTAGGGACCATATGTCAAAATATGTGGCTTTTAATGTATAGTTTTACTATATTTATCAGAAAGCAAGTCTGAAACCAAATGACTTAATTATTCAATTCAAGAAGAAAACATGTAAACAACAGTTGTGAAGCTTAAATAAAACCAAAGAATGTAACAAATCAAAGGATGAAATAATCGGTAACATGGCGACTAACAATGACAGCAAAATCACAGAAAGGATGTTTTAACATAACAAAACAATATTTTTCAATATTATAGACAAACTTCTAGAAAGACTAAACCGAGAGAGAGAGGTGGGGGGAGAGGCAAAACTCATGCAAACAAGCAAGTGACAAAATGAATAAATACCTGGAAATCAGTTGTAATAGAGATTTAAGCAAAATAAAAATATTTATTAACAAAAATGCAAAAATTGACTTTAGAAGAAAGAGAAACATTAAAAAGACTAATAGCATAAAAATATGTTTAAAATATCTCCAAGACTTCCTGTCTACACACATTAAAAATGGTGGCCCAGAAGGTTTTATACATGTCTTCTCTCAAACATTCATATTCTGA